GCCCTTCCCCCCCATTTCTCTTCACCTCATGTAGTTCTAACGAATGATGTGAGAAATGGCGGGGAAACACATGGTTTAAATGGGCCTAAATTTTGGGGGTGGGGCTTAATTTCACCTCATGACTAGAAATCATGCTGGGCCTTCCTATTGGTGGAGGCCGTATTGTTGGAGAAACACAGTAGTTTTGTCTTTCACATTGATTTTGTTTGTAACGAAATGTCATATATTATGCATTGTGTGTATATATAGATATAGATATAGACAGGGGCGGCGCATGGAGAGACTGGGCTCCTGTCTCTCATCAGGGCATTCTGGGTGTGGGGAGGGGGTGGGGGTGGAGAAGGCCAACCTACCTTCAAGGAGCTGGCAGCCGGGTCCCAACGCCCGCCCCCTTTGTGAAGAGGGGAGCAGGCGCTGCCCCCCTTGGTAGCAGCGCCTCCCTCTGTCCCGCAGAAGAAGAAGAGGTGGACAAGATGATGGAGCAGAAGATGAAGGAGGAGCAGGAGCGGAGGAGGAAGAAGGAGATGGAAGAGCGCATGTCCCTGGAGGAGACCAAGGAGCAGGTGGGGGTTGCTAGGCGGTGGGGAGGAGCCTCCCACTCTCCCCCCCTCATGGGAGCCCCTCCTTGACCAACCCCCCCTTCCTCTCTCTCCCCCTCCCAAACCCCTTCCCCCCCAGATCCTGAAGCTGCAGGAGAAGCTCCAAGCCCTGCAGGAAGAGAAACATCAGCTCTTCCTCCAACTCAAGAAAGTCCTCCACGAAGAGGAGAAACGCCGTCGCAAGGAACAAAGGTGGGCCCTCCCCACCCTTTCCCTCTCCCTCCCCTGCCATGGGGCAGGTGGAGGTGGGGGGCAGAGGCCATTGCCCAGCCTTCTGTAGCCCTCCTCCTCCTCCCCCACTTTTGATCTGGCCACAGCAGGTCCAGCCATGGCGTCCAGCAGAGCCCAGGCTGTCTTGGGGGAACTAACCTAGCAGCTTTCCAGGCCATTGACGGATGTCAGGAAACACACAAACACATGCACATACACCCCATTTGGCTTTCTGGGTTCTGGCTCCTCTTGGCCTCAAACAGGGGAGATGCAGTCACTCATAAAACACTATTTGTGGCTGGGAGTCTCTGCTCCTCTCTGAGCTGGGTGGTTTCCTTGCAGATGTTTCATGACCCAACTAGGGAACCTCATCAGTGCTGGGAGGGAGGGAGGGGGGTTTGGGAGGAGGAGGAAGAGAAGCAGCAGGAAGAGAAGTGTAGAGGGGGAGGAGGAGACTGTGGGGTCCTTGATGCTGAATTGGGTTGTTTGCTTGCAGACGTTTCATGATCCAACTAGGGAACTTCATCAGTGCTAGAAAGGAATGGGATTTGTGGGGGGTAGGGTGGAAGAGAAGCAGCAGGAAGGGAAGGGTAGGGGGGG